TGAATCTTAGGGCAGGTCGAAACAAATGAGGGCCTAAAAATAGCCCAGGGCCTAAGAATAGCCCTCCGTTTCAGGCTGGAAAAACTCTGGGTCTGAAAGACCCAGAAATAGGCTGAAACGGAGTAGGGCCTGCAGGCCTGTAGATCCTAAGTTTTAGGCTTTTAGGCTGAATGTCCGGGACGGGTCCTGCAGGGCCCGTGTGGCTACGCAGTATGCCACAGTAGGCCTCCCAATTCCCCCTGAAGTGCGAAATTACCCTGAGGAAAAATTTTGAACTTTCCGACTGCCAATGATTGTCCGATGAAAATTCCAAAAAAAATAAAATACAGAGTACGCGCAGTTGGAGAATGATAACTGCAAGAGGGATGTGCCGTACCGTTTTAAAAAACGAATTTCGGAAAAAAAAAATTCGTATTTTCCAAATAACGGGAAATGGCAAAAGGAAATCGAAATTTTTGAAAAGAAAGATATTCCGGATTTTCAACAATGAAATTTCGAGTTTTCAGAAGAAAAACGAAAACGTAATCTTCAGATGTTGTGCTATTGCGATTTTTGACAACAGAAAAGAAAATCCAAGAAAAGAAAGAACTTTCGATTTTCGGCAGTGAGGTATTTTGTTGGTTTACAGATTACTGAGGGGGCTAACTAATGTGCTCTAATCAATCAATCAAGACTAATCAGCTACCTAGTCCCCGCACACGTGTCAGATCAGGTTGTCCTGATTCACGTGCGGTGCTCGGATATCAACTGTTACATGCCCAGTTGGGCGATGTACACATATAACCAAGGATCCACAATGTGATAAAAAGGACTGAATGGACAATGCAGTGCAAGTAGAATCTCAACAAGCAGTGTGCATTCGGATACATACAAAAATGGTGCTTTATAGCGCAGGGAAGACTTAGATACAAGTCCTGACCCCACCGAGACTGACCTCTATCACGTAGTGCAAGATAGCGTAGCAGAATGGTAGAATACCAATGACTAGCCCAATCAATGTTGCAACGCAGACTAAACATCATTCTCATCACAAGGTGTGAAGGGAGCCTGGCACTGTACACAGGACGAAGGCGCCAGGTCCAGATCATGCACAGACGAGGAGGAGGGAAACAGACGAAGAAGAGGATGGGGGAGATGGGAAAAGTCGTCAACACCAAGTCTTCGCTACAGGTCCCAAATAATCCCTCGTCAAAATGTCTGAAGCCCAATGTCGAGTCTGGATCCAAACGTCACCAAGCTCTCTCTCTCTCTCTCTCTCTCGTAGTCTGCCGATGCAGTGAAGTCAGATAGCGAGAGGTTGAGAGGGAGATGGTGGACTGAGAAGAGGAGGAAGAAGAACTCTCTCTCCCCCATATGTGCCAGGTACTAACCTGTGAAGCTGGCGCTGTGCTGCAGGTACCTCGAAGACGAAGCTGGAGCTATGGCGCTGCAGGTAAGTCTCCCTGGCCTCCGCCCAATCTCTCTCTCTCTCGTACTGCTCTAGCTCCTATGGCGCCCAGCGCTGAAGACTACTGCTGACGCTGCTAACGCCCAGTGCTGAAGACTACTGCTAGGGCTACAACTACTCCTGCAGCGCTCCTCCAGAGTGCTGCTGCCAAATCCTGAAGACTACCTCCTGCCTCCTGAACTGCACGTGAAGTGCCTGGGAAGTACCTAGGAACTACCTGCAGCCTGCAGGGCTGGACAGTCTTATATAGTGCTGGCCCGTCCAGGAGGCTGCTCTTGCCAATGCCAAAACGTGCCAGACCCTGGGGTTGAAGCTCAAACAGAGGTTGTCTTGAAAATAGGCCAAAAATGGCCTGAGCTGAAACCCCGGTCTGGTGCCTGAGTTTCAGGGCAGGTCGATCTTATGAGGGCCTGAAAATGGCCCTCAGTTTCAGGCTGAAAACACTCAGGGCCGGAAAGGCCCTGATTTAGCCTGAAACGACACAGGTTCTGTGGGCCCTTGTTTTCAGGCTTTCAGGCTGAAACGACACGGGGCCTGTAGGCCCTTGTTTTCAGGTTTCTGGCCTGAAAACGTCACGGGCCTGAAAGGGGGCCCTTGCAGCTTGTTGCAGGCGCAGCATGTAACATTATGCTCTCATTGACATTTGAATTCGGTGCTTTGGTTCTCCGTTGGTGGAATATCAGAGCAGTTTTGCTTTCTGGACAGTGTTGGACTTTCTGGCTTTCACATTTTTAATGTGAAATTGCATTCTGGAATTCTGTCATTTCGCTATTAGTCATTTTCCTTGCACATGCTTTCTGTACGAGTACTAAAAAGCTTCTGAAAGTATATGCATTAAGGTTTCGGCTTATAAGCTTCTGAAAATATGTTCTGATGTTTACTATGTACTGCAGGAATCGCCATCCACGCTATTAACGCTATGCATGAAGGCCCGGATGCCACCTTGGCACAGTTCAACAACGTCTGCTCTCTGATTTCTCCCGTGGGCAATCGAACAGCACAAATCTTAATATAGACTCACGTGGGCAATCGGACAGCGCAAATC